AAAAATTATTTTTCTAGATTAATTACATGCTCACAACAGAAAATGTGGTCAAGTTTATTATCATTTTCTAACTTTAAGTACTTGGAGAAAAAACCTAACTTGGAGAAACTCAGTGTGATTATGGCGCTGTATTTCTGCTGTGCTTTGTTTTTAGGTTCCTTGTATAAAAGAGGAATAAGGATTTTCAATTATGAGTTTAGCATATTTGGCTTTGGTGATTAACATGAAGTACCATCAGATGTAAATGCAGTTCATTTAGGTTGTTACAGGTTGTCTGTTTGCATGTGCTGTATAACTGGTAAGGTTCTCTGGGAAGTGTGTTTCTCAATTTTGGAAATAATTTTTGATGTATTTTTATTTGAGATATTAGAAAGCTAATAAACAGACCAAGATTATGCCCTCCTTCAGCCTGAATGTGCTCTGATTGGCATAATCATGTTAACAGAATTCTTTATTTTGCTGAATCCTGTCTTTACCCTCTAAAACAACACACAAGTAAGTTGCTCTTATGGAAATGCAGCAGCGGCACTTAGAAATCTAATTATCTAAATTTCTGGCATTCTCACTCTGATGGCCTTGGTCATTGTTACATCATAGATAACTTCCCTTTTGTAATGCTTTCTTTCTCTAACTTTATATATTTTTATACCTTCTATTTTTCTCATCTCCTTCCTCATTATTCATCTTAAATATAAGTTGTAAATTTAGTAGTGGGAGGATCTCAATAACTTTTCACTTTCATATCTGAAGTCACTATTCATCATAGACATAATTAAATAAACATAATCCATCTGCCTTTATGACTACAAAAAAAAGACATCTATAGCAGTAAATCTTTTTTTTGGTTCTGCATCATAGAACCAAAAACATAGAAATGTTTGTTTCACCTAAAGTGAAAATCAAAGCTCAGGGTTTTTTTTTTGTTTTTTGTTTTTCCTATGTCCATTTGTGGTGGACACAAATCTTCAAAAGTCTTGGTTTAACTTAGAGATGCTAGTATTGAACTTTGATTTCACTCCTACTTTTTAAAAGATTATTTTTAAACCCAGACCTATTTGGGAGCAGATGAAATGGGGGATATTATCATGCAGTACTTTGGTAAGTAGTACAACTTATCCTTGTTCCTCAAAACTTGATCTATATCTTCCTATTTCCCATTTATTAGATTTTTTCCAGCTGGTTTTTTTTTGTTTGTGTATATATAGTTGTGTCAATTTTATATGCATTTTGATTGTAATGCAGAGGCCAGTTTTTGTTTGAATGCCTTTGATGCAGTTAGAAGAGCTAACTGAAGAGACATGCTGAAAATTCAGAGTTGCAAGTGGAATGTGTTAATTGATTACAAAGACTTTAAGATCAGTAATCATCAACAGTGGTGAATAACACTGGCATTTTGTGCTGTGCTTCTGATCTGAAATGTAAAAATTGCTTCTAGCCAGGAAAGGGAGATTATGCTTCATGACTCTTTTTGAGTGGTTACAGACAAATTAAAGTAAACTGATGTTTCTTGTCTTTTTAATTGAAAGCCTCATACTTTGAGGTCTGAATGGCGACAGAAGGAAGCTGAGGCACTCACACATGCCTGGTGTATACAAATCTTCTTTGTTCCAAGCGTAAGTGATCCTTCCAGCGTACATTGCGCACAGGGTGCTTCCCTGCCTCCACTCCCCTTGGCACCTAATGCCCAAGGACACACGGGTGAAGCAAAGCCTTGGATTAGAACCTGGCCTCTGGAAAGCTGCAGCCCCTGCTGATTTTAACACTCAGCAGATTTGGATGGTCATGTCAGGGGGAGCTTATTCCAGCTTTTTCTGTAATCTGACTAACTTCATTTTCACTCCCAGAAGTGCATTTCATTTTTTCCTTCTTCTTTTCACACTGCTGGAAGTAGCCCAAAGGAAATATGTTGCACTGCTGTCAGCCATAAGAACAGCAGCTGAGGCAAATGCTATGTAGTTGTGCGTTGTTTTGAAAAAGGGATGGGTGAGCAGCACCAGCTATTCTTGCTGTAAGAGTTAACAATTGCATAGCTTGTAGAGAAATACCTTTGAGAAATTAGGTCCTGTTAGTGCTTTGCCATTGAATACAGTATTGGCATTGTTTATCTGTTGTTGTTTTCACAACTCTGGAATGTTTCTAAACCTTATGGATTTTTGAGCTCTGTGAAATAAATGTTACTGTATGATGTCTGGACATTAATATTTATAGTTTTGAGTTGTTTCCAGCAGAAAGTTATAATTAAAATCTAACAAGACCCCAAGGGTGCGTTTATGTATTTCATATAACTAGTCTGACAGTTCGTTGCTATGGAAGGGGCTGAACTTGTTGCTCCCCATCTATTCTCTCAGTTTTTGCCCATGCACTGGCTCTGTTTCTTCTCCAGCAGCACAGAAACTTGATTCCAGTTCTTTATAATGGCCGATTTTTTTTTGTTGTTGTTAGTTTGTCTGCTTAGTTGGATCAGCATGTTGGGTTGGTTTACTGTGCAGTCAGATCAAGGGTGACAGAGCTGATTCAAGGGTGAGAGTGGGAGTGTGTGACCAAGAGCAGAGGGGAGAAATAGGGGTAGCAAGATCTACTCTTTGTGTGCCAGCAGTCAATTAGTTCAGCTCAATCTTACTGTGTAATTATGTCCCAAGAGGGACATGTTTCATTTCTTAAAATGGAATAAGGCAATATAGGCTCAGTTTGAGACAATGGTGTATTTTGTGATGTGCCTTCAGAAGATGGGTATCATGTGCTGTGTAGCATATAGAAGGGGTCTTAAGCTTTATCATAAGATTATGCTCCCTTGTTCACTCTGATAGCTCCCCTCTTGAGAAGCCTGTTCATGTCTCAGTTCTGTACCTTGCTCTCTTGCGGGGGTGTAGCTGTGGGGATTTGTTCTCTAGGTGATACTGGGGAATTGTTCAGATAATCACGTGATGGATTACCACAGAAAAATCTGTCGTGCATCGTTTGACTATGCAGGATGTAGCATTTGTCTTAAATCTCAATGTTTCTCTTCTCATTTTCATGAGAAAAGAAGGAACACAGCCTGCAAGGAAAGAGTTGGGGAGGATTGTTGAACAGTTATGCATGGATCAGGAGCAGCGTGTATGTTGTTAAACCCCTTTCCTGTGTGAAATAAATTAGCTATCAACTTACCAGGTTTTTTTCACTTAAAACCACATTTTTCATCAGCTGCATGTGTTCCAGGGTTATTTTCAAATTTGAAAGAAATCTCCTGAGTTGCAGAAAGACAAAGTGGTATAGGATTACTCCTGCAGGAGGTGAGGCAGCTTTTAAAAATACTGTGCACGGCCTCAACATTGCTGTGTGTAACCTACATAAATCAGCTTTCTGTCATGTTCATCGTAGTTCCAACATCAATCAGGATTGAGTACCGCTCGTATGAGGCACACCTATAAAATAGGCAAGAAGAGATATTCCTTGCCTTAACGAGGGACAAAAGACAGGGAGGAATCCTGATATATAAAGCAGGTTCTCTGAGTATAGCAAAATCTCTAATTTTTTTACCTAGTGGTTCCATTGGCAGAAACTAGCTAGGCAAAGCCGGAAGTTGCATCAGTGTTGCGACCCAACAGCCATTGAGTATAACTTCATGTTCAAAGAGAAATGCAGGAGAGCAGCATGGTAAAGGACTGTTGGTTTTTTGTCAGACATAGTACCTTCTCAAGCTGTTTTGGATTGTATTTTTTATGTTCTCATTAAAATTAAAAAAAAAAAAAAGATCCTTCACTTCTTCAGACATAAAATCTTTTTTAATGGTGTTGGAATCCACTTTTCTTCTGGTTTCTTTTGTGTAGCATTTTTGTTTTTCTTGTCCTTCATTCTCATCAGGTGTCCCAAAGTACAGTGTTTAACTGCTAACCTTAGTATTATTACAGTTTTTTTCTTTTAATGTTGCGCTTTTTTTTTTTTAACAACTTCAGTTGAAACAGTTCTTCAGCAATACCAGAGCTGATTGCTGAGAAAGGATTGTGCTCAAGGCTTGGAATTACATGCATGGAAGGATAACAAAAGTCAGCTGCCTTTCTAGAAGGTAGTTCATTTAAGACTTAGAGTGACTGACTCCCCAAGAGAATTTCCTTTTTCTGAAGAAGCATGTTGCTTTTATTGTCTAGAAGCCTGCTGTCTATAAGCTTGCAGTCTGTGATTGCAGCAGCTCACAGCAGTTCCATGTTGAGATTCAGGACAGCCACACAGCTTCACCAAGGTTCCTGCCTGACTAACCCAGTGGCCTTCTATGGGAAAGTGATTCCATCAGTGAAAAAGGGAAGGGTTACAGATATCCTTTGTGTGGGCTTCTGTAAAGCCTTTGATATGGGCCCCCACAACTTCCTTCTTTCTAAACTGCTCAGAGATGGATTTCATGAACAGGCCACTAGATGGATAAGAAATTACTTGGATGGTGACATCCAGAGGGTAGGGGTATAAATGGCTCAGAGTCTAGATGGAGATAAGTGACATGGTGTCCCTCAGGGGTCCATAGTGAGACTGGTGTTATTTAATATCTTCATTAATGACATAGGTGAAGGGATTGAGTGATGCTTGGCAAATCTGTAGATGACACCAAGCTGAGAGGTGCTGTTGACACTCCTGAAGGATGGGATACCATCCAGAGGGGCCTGGACAAGCTCCAATTGTGAGCCCATGGGAATGTCATGATGTTTAACAAGACCAAGTGCCATGGCGTATTGTTGGATGAGAAGTTGGACATGACCTGGCCATGTGCACTTGCAGCCAGGAAAGCCAAACATGTCCTGGGCTGCATCCAAAGCAGGGTGGGCAGCAGGGCCAGGGAGGGATTCTGCCCCTCTGCTCTGGAGGAGCAGAATGCTGTCCTTCCCCAGCACAGGAAGGACACTGACCTGTTGGAGCAAGTCCAGCACAGGGACACCAAGATGAGCACCTCTCCTATGGGAAAAGGCTGAGAGGGTTGGGTTTGTTCAGCCTGGAAAAGAGATTTTGAGGTGATGTAATTTTTTGCCTTCCAGTACCTGAAAGGAGCCTACCAGAAGGATGGAGAAAGACTGTTTATAAGGGTAAGTAGTGACAGGATGAGGGGGAAAGGCTTCACTTGGAGAGGAGGTTTAGATTAGATTCTGGAAGAAATTCCTTACTGTGATGGTGGTGAGGCACTGAAACAGGATGCCCATCAGATAAGCTGTAGATGCCCCATGCCTGAAAGTGTTCAGGGCCAGGTTGGATGGGACTTTGAGCAACCTGTCTAGTGAAAGGTGTCTTTGCCCAAGAGCTAGATGATCTTTAAGGTCTTTGAATTCTGTGATTTTGCCTTATTTTTGCAAAGTGTATAATGACTGTATTTGCTTTATAAGGATTCTTACAAATTATGCTAAGTCTCTGAGAACATCAATCTACTGTTTCCCTCTCTAGTAGCATGGGTTAGTTTGGAATAACAGTACTAATTAAAGTTCTGCATGACACTTTTACCATTACTTTCCAATCTCCTAAAAACTTAAGCAAACTCATATGTAACAAAAAGACTTTACTTTCTTTACGGCTCCAAAATGGCTTGGGTGTCCTCATACGAACTTTAGAAGTGTTCTCTTATCATAGCTGGAAGCTATACCTATACATCTTGTATGCTAAGTGCTTGTTGCGGTTTTTAAGACCAAAACTGCTTCTGTTGTGGTGAAAGGCACGTAGCCTGTGAAAGCATCTTGAAACTTCAGGAGTGGGGAAGAGGGAGAGGACGGAAGGGGAAATATTTCTGAAGGTTTGCTAAGTGCTACAATTTATCTAGGTAATGATGATCTCCTGCCTGATGTTAGTTAGAATGTTGTGATGAAATATTTGTGTTCTGGTGAGAGTTTTAACATTGCGTTTAATGAGACTTTGGAACTGGGAGTAGATAGTGAGAATTTGTGCATTTATGCTGATGAGAATCATTATCTTCATAGCTGGAAGGAGCATCTTGCTGTGTGAAATTCTGGAGAAGGAAGGGTAGAAAGGTTGGAAAAATGTTGAGTCCCAGTAAAAGTATCTTTCTCTAACATCCACTTTAGAATAGTTGTATACTACATAGATCATAATGCTAGCAGGAGAATGTTATCTCAGAGATCTGTATCGTAGATACTGAGCAGCAGATTTTGTAGAGGTGTCCTCTTCATGGTCCTCTGAGGAAGCCTTGCTGCCACACTCACTGCTGCCTGTTTTTTCACTTGGTGCAAGATTACAGCTATTCAGTTGTTGCATCAGGCACTCGTGGCAGCTCTGTATTCAACAAAACCTCCTCTTCAGCTTCTTATCTTCTTCTGTGTCTCTTCCCCATCATACAAATATCACTTATATTCCAGTATTTGGTGTGCCAGCAGCTGTTGGCAAAGTAGGAATGTGACATAGTTTCAGTGGGATTTTTACTGTATCTAGACAATGCCCATCATCATTTGTAGTTCTGCTGTGGGTCAGGTGCAATTAGTGTAGTGCCATCTCTGATGATAGCATCTCTGATAATCCCCTGGTGGGAATTCCAATTTAGCACCTTGTGATATGCATAAAATAATCTTTACTGTTTGTGATTAATTTATAACTCTCAACTTTCCTTTGCCTTCTGTGGCATAGGATTGCATGCTCCTTGTAGTTAGGTACTGCTTCGTTTATAGCAGGGCATAAAACCAACTCCTCCAGAGCAATGACAAGCTTTTGCCCAACCCTGCTCACTCAGGTTCAGGAAACTGTGTCAATACATTGGAGCTTTGTAGGAGATTAATAATTAAGCTGTGGGTGAGGTTAATTTATGTCCCCTTGCTTTGCCAGAGGAAGCTGATTTCATGTAAAAATAATACTTTAATAATGTATTCTGTTACTGTCTTAGTTCTGAGAGCTAAACTAGTTACCACACTGTGAATTTTGTTAGTATCTCTTCCGCAAGATCACCTTGCCTTTTCAGCTATCCAGGCATGTATTTTAGACTTTTAGTTAGGAGAATTGGAAGTGGCAAGGAAATTGAATTCCTTATCCTAAAGCAAGGTTTTCACAATCACCTCTATTAGTAAACCTGATTTAAATTGTTGTTAGCCTTTTATTAATGGAAGCATAGGTAATGCTTCTTTACATCTGCCTTAAGAGAGACTGGCAGCAGCTTTGGGAAGAGATTTGCAGGGCTTAGCTATGGGAAATAGATGAGGGGGAATTTAGTATGGCATAGACTGGGGAACAAGGTATTAAGGTAAAGATGGCAGCCAGGCTCACATAAGAGAACAATATTGGTGTTATTGGAGAACCGTCTGCTACATTTGCATTGTTTTCTGTACTTTTTAAAAAATCTTTATAGAATAAATAATAATAGTTGTTTGTGTATCTTGAAAATTATAATTGCATTTTGTCTTAATATGAATTTTGTATTATTTTCTTGTTTTGTCTTTTACCACTGACAAAATGTCTGAGCAAGCACTATGTTACAGTAGGCATCAACATGACCTCTTAAGCAATGGATGACTGAGGCACCACTTTGGTCACAGTGTACTGCCAGGTGTCACACTACTTCTTCTTGATCTTAGAATTCACAAAAGGCACATTTTACTTATGTGTAAATGTAATTGTGAGTTATTATGAGGGCTTGGGCTGGTGAATTCAGCATTTCTAGCATTTGGAAGTTTACAGGTAGGTCCTTTGACAGCTATTTGTTTGTTAGTTTTGGGTTTTGGTTAGTTGGAAATTTCTGATGACAATACCAAGAAGCTCAATTAAAGAAGCCTGGAAATAAACAAACAAACAAACCACAAAAACAACCCAAAAAAAACCACCCCAGGTTAAAAAAACCCCCACTTGTCTAAAAATCCCAGTGTCAGTCTACACTGAAATGAGTTCTGGTGTCTGTCCGAACTGATAAAATCTTGGTCAGCTTGAGCCTTTGTCTTTATGAATAGAGATTCCTGTGGTGTGCTGTATATTGTTGGGCAAAATATTTTGTTTTTAGTCAAACAAGTGAGGACTAAGAAAAAAAACCTGATAAATTACAGAATTTATGACATTTGAAAGCTTAAAAAAAGTGAAAACTTTATTTTATCACTTTTGAAAATGGAAAACTTCTCAGTACCCCCCTCTTGCTCTTCTTATTCTGATCAGTGCACTAAATATTCCTGGGGCTGTTGCTCTGCAAGCTGCTTGTGAAGAAACTACCTGGTGATGACAAATTAGCAGAAGATATTTTCTTTATAAAATGTTTCCAAAATTTCATTACCAAGGACTGCTCTGTGATATACCTGAAAAAAATACGTAAAAACAAAATACAAAAGTATTTGTTTGGTTTCTTGTTGCTTTTTAGATGCATTTACAATCTGTTAATAATGTATTTTAGGTTTGGTTTAGATGTGTAGGAGATTGGTAATCAATAGAATGTATATTTAGAAATTACAAAGGAAGGTACTGTGAACTTTCTAGCTAATCATCCTTCTGTGTTTTTGTACAAACAGGTTTTCCTCTGGTAGTTCATAGACTGAAACAAACTTCAAGTTAAATGTGTGTTAAAGTTGCTCTTTTTTTCCACTTGCTTCTATTCAAGTTTTTCTGGAGTCTGGACACAGAACAATAATTTGACTAGGACATTTCTATTTAACCACTGGAAACACAAAATCACTAATACACAAATTGAACTTACAGCTGAATTACAGTAAAGAGGAGTGGCATGCAGCATTGGGGTACCTAAATGACAATACAATATGCTTAGTATGGAAAGTGTCTTAATTACTTGTTCATAAATTTCTGTGCTATGAACACAGTTTGAATACTTCATTTATCACCAAATTAATTGATTCCTCTGTTTCTCTGCTGCAGGAACTCATTATACAATGACAAATGGAGGAAATATCAACAGTTCAACACATTTGCTGGACCTTCTGGATGAACCAATTCCTGGAGTAGGAACATACGATGACTTCCATACCATTGACTGGGTTCGAGAGAAGTGCAAAGACAGAGAAAGGCATAGACGGGTACTTGAGATTAATAAAACCTTTTTGGTTGGATGTTGGAGTTAAGGTCTGATTTTTGTAACACATACAAATATATGCATGTCCTTTAAATATGTACATAGTTACATCAGCTAAAACTACTTGAATACTGTTTTAAAAGCACTGCTTAGTTGGATACCTGCAGTCTTGCAGCATTATTATAACTTCAAAAAGAAGCAGTAATTTAATAGAGAGGGAATAGGTCCCTGTCACCCAAATACCTTTTTTAAAGTTCTGCATTTTTTTTCATCCTAGTGTATTTAAGGCTATTTTCCAGTGTAGATGTAATTGTAATAGTACCATAGTGGTTTTGGTGGTACTGGTACAGAAAAGTGAAGCATGATGTATATTGCGTTTGTACTGACACAAGTGTCTCTGCCACTGCAGCTAAGTGTGCAGAGTAAATAAGGATAAAATAAGAATAGCAACTTTTTCAGTACAATAATAGTTGTCTAGAAGTACTTTAGGGTAATTATCCAGTTTTTTATTTTATTTTACTTATATGTGTTTTTTAGTCTAAACATAAAGTTGTTTATATTTGAAGTAGAAATTTTGGAATTTGAATCATATGAAATAGCTTATTATTAGTATGCTGACAGTTCAATTGAAGTTCAAAAATATTTAATGTATAGGAGGGAAATAATATTAAAATTACCAGTTTAGGTGTATGCCACAGAAGGTATTTAATTATCCTAATAATGTATTTCCTGGATTTTAGTTCTTTAAATTAAGCAAATATATGTTTCTCTGTCAGTTGCTTGATGTCTGAATAATTAAGCTGATTTATCTATGTGAAGCACTAAATACAAGCAGAACACTTGTGGTGTCAAGAGAGAGTTTATTTGCTTGCATCATGCAATTTGTATATCATACTTCCTTTAGTTTCATTATTCATATTACTGAAATACATACAACTCTACATACTGATTTCTCTTTGCAGATTAACAGCAAGAAGAAAGAATCAGCATGGGAGATGACAAAAAGTTTGTACGATGCATGGTCAGGATGGTTGGTAGTCACATTAACTGGTTTGGCATCAGGTAAATGAAAACACAAAGGATTCTTTTCTTATTTGTCAGCAAGTATAGTTGTTGTGTTTTTCCTTTGTTCTCCACCAACCCAGCTAAGAGCTGGTTCAGTCTACTACGGCAGTTCTATAAGGGAAGAAAAAAGTTGACTATCTCGATTGACAAGCTTCACCATTTTGAGTTGAGGGTTTACTGATCAGATGGGAACCAAAATCCTCACTGAATTTAGAGAGAATTTCTCAAGTGTTTTTGAACTTCCACATACTAAAGTATCAATGTTCTTTAATCCTGTGACTGAGATTTATGTTTTCCCTTTCTGTAAAATTTTGGATTTTACCTGTAGCATTTCTTGTGGAAGTGTTGATTGTAAAAGTAGCTCTGGTATATGTGTAGTTTTGGCAAGCACACTTCCCTGTAAACCATGTATTTATGGACTAGTGAATTTTAGCTGTATGTTTATGTTGCACCTTTACAGAGGTTCTTCCACAGAAAATACTGACTTTAACAGGTAGAGTTTGTTGACTTAGACTTGAATTCTCTCTTTCATTGTTATTGTATTTTAGAATGGATTTTACAGCTAAAACCATCCAATAGTTTGTGGCCCCGTGGTCAGGCAGTGCTGCTGCTTTTTCTGTTGGTATAGTCTGAAGTGACTAAAACTTGCAGTAAGGAACGGTCACAAACTTTGTGCGCAGTTTTTCAAAATAAGTACTTCAAATAGACATTTAGACATTTTAGATTAAATGTTAGCAAAGTTAGTTGTGGAGTAAGGCTGTGCTTATTAAAAAGCATGGTTACAGTATAATTACTGCTTAGGTATATGCATAATCACTTTCACAAATCACATATAAATTAATATATATGCAAAGTTTGTAGCATGTTTATATACTTCTGGATGCACAAACCAGAAGTGTGTAATCTGTATAATCACTGGAAATTGTTTATGATGATTTCAGTGGGAACATGCAGTGTAGTGTTTTCAACCCCTTAAGCTGCTGTTTATTACAATTCCTTTATTCTGTTTCTGAGTAACACAGTGAGCAAATTCAGTTCTTGCACACTGGTAGGTTTTTCAGTCTCAGATGCCTTCTATGTCTAGTGGATCTTAAATGGTACAACCTTGAGTTCAGTCACAAGGAGATCTTATGTTTACCTGTTTTAATAATTTGGTTGAAATTCTGTTCTACTGAAGTACTGCTTTGACTTGACGACACATAGACTAGAATCCTTTTCCACCTTTTAGACAGGTGAATCCCATCTCTTTCCAGCAGGCTTGATGCTGTATAACTGCTTCATCACAAAAAAGTAACAGTTCACTTTCTACTTTTAACTCCTTGGTTTCAGTGGACTGTTGGAGAACTGTGGTATACAGAAAAAAAAGGCAAAAAAAATCCCATGTAACTTGGGAAATATGCAAAGTACTTAACTCTTCAGCAAATATTAGTTTTACCATAACAAAAACCAGGATATAATCCTGGAAAATCCTGGAAATCAGTAGTATATTAAATATTCATTTAATTAAGTTAATACCTAATACTTCAGTTAATACAAGCACATTCCTTCATTTTAGCCGAGTGTGTTATTTCTTTTTACCAGAACATTAATACAAAGCTGTTTCTACAACAGGGGCATTGGCAGGATTAATTGACATAGCTGCTGACTGGATGACTGACTTGAAGGAAGGCATTTGCCTTAGTGCTTTGTGGTTTAACCATGAGCAGTGTTGTTGGGGTTCAAATGAGACCACATTTGAAGAGAGAGATAAATGTCCGCAGTGGAAAACATGGGCAGAGCTAATAATCGGGCAAGCAGAAGTGAGTATTCTTTGATGGTCTTGTTCAACAGCTTGGCTGAGTAGGGAAAAAAAATAATGGTCTTAAAGTTAGGATTCTAAACATGAATTTAGGTTGTACTGTCTGTGCCATTTTTCAGCATTTGAATTGATTACTAGACTATAGTGTAATAAATGTGTATTTCATGAATTGCAAGGGAGCTTGGAGTATTGCAAATGTAAGGAAGTTATGAGAATATAGAGCTGTTGATAGCACAAGAATTTCTATTCCTGATAATAGCTGTATGTAAATATCCATCTATGGTATTCTCTGATAACTAAGAATAGATTTGCTTGATTTTTTTCTATCACATTTTTAAAATAAGGAAGATTTACTCAATATTCACTAGATTTTAGCAGCTGTTAGCTATTAAAAATATACATGTTCAATGTTTATTTTTTCTTTTCAAGAGGAAGTGTTAGAACAGTTTCTACCTTTTATAAGTCTGTGCTAATGTGCAAGTGTCATGACTTCATGCTTTTCAAACAAAACTCTCTCTTGGCAATAATTACTGTGCCTCAAAATATGTGTATTAATGTACTTGCAGCAGAAGTACTTCTGGATTATTTTAAGTAGTGATTTTGCTCTTATGTCAAACCTGTTTTCTGACATTTTGTGTTTGCTTTTAGGGTCCAGGTTCATACATAATGAACTACATCATGTACATTTTCTGGGCTTTGAGCTTTGCCTTCTTAGCAGTTTCTCTGGTGAAGGTATTTGCTCCCTACGCCTGTGGCTCAGGGATACCTGAGGTGAGGTCTAACTAAAATATATATATATATATATATATATATATATATATAGAATAGATGTTTCATATTAATGTGTAGATTACTGCTGCCTTAGTGGGTCAGGGGAAAGGCAAGAGGAAGCACCCTGTGTCTTTGAAGAAATATATTAATACAATATTCAAACTGCAAACATGGTAATTTTGCTAATTGTTTCTGAGAAAATACCCCAAACTTAAAAGAATCGCCTGAGTTAGTAGATTTTACTTCTGTTGGGACCACTTTTTAAGGACCCGTTTGGATTAGTGTGCTTCTGAAGAATGATTTCAAACCTCGCGTCGTCCACGCCCTCCCTATGGTGATAAGAGAGCAGTGATACATTGACACAATTTTGATAGAGCAATCAATCTTTTGTTGCAATGCCTTTAGCTGCCTTAACTAGCACAAACCAATGAACAGTCACAATATGAAATGTGTATTATCCTGAAAAACTCACTGTTTGCAATTGCTGTCTGCTACTGTCCACAAAATGGGAGAGAAAAATCCAAAGTCAAATCAATCTGGTCAGTCTCACTTCTTCAGTTTTTCTGTAAATATTTTTTATCCACCTCTGTTTAAGCCTGGAGTAGTTCTGTGCCATTATTCCAGAAGAAATTTCATCTTAAATTGGTTTTCAAATCTAGCTGTGTTTACTTTCTAGACACAGCTGCCCATTGTTTAATGTACATCCTATTTATGGACATGTTGTGATATGGTAGCTGTATATTATTTACTCTGCATGGGCATATTTTCCAGGCTTATAATATAGCATTTTTAAGCACAGTAATACCTTTGGCAAGTGACAGATTTTTCTGGTGCACATAGGGTGATCTTTTCCATCTTTATGTGAAGAAATCTACTGTTGATTTTTATGTAGTGATGGTAAAACACAAAGAGAAAACAGGGGTGATATTGGTGCAAGTTGGGGTAATTGCTAAAATAGATTGATCTTGAGTGTGGTTTTTGCAGATTAATTTTTCCTTTAGAAATTTTCTGCCTTTTTACATAATTTACATCATAAACTGATTCATCCAATCTTAAGAAGCTGCTGCAGATTAATTTTCTACTAAATGTAATTTGTACTGTAGTTGTATGTTATTACCCAGTGTTTTAGAGTAAGTTGCAAATGAAAAGCTTCTGGCAGGCAGAGAGACCTAGTGTGGCAATCTGAATGATACGTGTTTTAAAGTGTGACAAAATTAGTCATTTGAAACTGCTGGCATTGAAGTTCTGCAGCTAAAATTAAAGGATGAATTATTTTCTGAAAACTGAAGAATGCAGTAACACATTTTTTTATTTCTTCCAGATAAAAACTATTTTGAGTGGCTTCATTATCAGAGGTTACTTGGGGAAGTGGACTTTGATGATAAAAACAATTACTTTAGTCTTGGCTGTTGCATCAGGTTTAAGTTTAGGAAAAGAGGGTCCTTTGGTACATGTTGCCTGCTGCTGTGGCAATATTTTTTCCTACCTCTTTCCAAAATACAGTACAAATGAAGCTAAAAAAAGAGAGGTAAGTTATTGAAAAATCATTTCTAGAATATATTGAATATTGGTGCATTTACATTGATTTGTTTAAAAGGTGATCTTTGTTCTCTTGGACAATGTTTAGTGATTATCAATTGTTATTTATTATGTTAAAAACAATGTATTATCCCCAGCATTCTGACAGGTAAATAATTTCTATGACAGAGTCAGTTTGGTCTCCACTCCGGAATGGTCTCCTCTTCAGAGACCATTTGGTTTTATTTAAATTCTTTCTGTGCTTGTCTCTAAACTTTGGTAATTGATGGGTGTCTTCAGTGGTGAGGACAGCAGAGTATCTGAACCCATGACCAAAGTGTTCCTGGTGACAGCAGTGTTCTGTGCCCTGTTCCAGTTTGCTGTTGTTAACGAGTGTGGTGGGTTAGACTTGGTGCTGGCCAAGCAGTTCTCTCACCCCTCTGAGTTGGCAGGACACCAGGAGAGAGTAAGATGAAAAGCTCAGAGGTCAAGATGAGGACTGGGAGATTGCTCACCAGTTGCCATAACAGACCAGACCTGAGGAAAGTTCCTTGACTGCCCACAGTAGACTGACGAGAAATGAAAACAAAGCTGAATGTATCTTGCCCCCACTGTCCCTTCTAGAAAGGCTCAGTTTCACTCCTAACTCTTCTATCCCAAAGTGGCACAAGGGAATGCTGTGTCTCTGCTGCTCCTTCCTCTTGATACTCTTTCTCTGCTCCAGGGTGGGCCCCCACCCATCACAAATATCTTCAGCATGGGTCCTTTCCGCAGGGTGCGGCCATTCAGGGCTGCCCAGCCTGGTTCACCCACACCCTGCAGTGCTTGCCAGAAACCTGCTCCTGCTTGGGCTCCTGCTCACAGGCCATGGCTCTTGCCAGGGCTGCAGGGGGAAGATCTGCTCTGCCATGCACCTGCTCTGCCCTATCATGAGCAAACTTGGCTTATAGCTATAGCGAGATTTTGTTGTTCATATTTACAACATAGACTGTGACAGACCCCTCCCCTTTATTGTTTTCCAGGTGTTGTCAGCTGCCTCAGCAGCAGGAGTTTCTGTAGCCTTTGGTGCCCCAATTGGTGGAGTCCTTTTCAGTCTGGAGGAGGTATGTCAAGAGATGGCATTGAAGAATAAATGTTTGAAAAAATCTGTCTTACTTTAAATAATTTCTGACTCCTTTAAGCTATGGAGTCTCTCCTAAGAAGGAAATTATTTTTTGACCCATATTTCAAAACCAAGAGTCCTGTTACCAGCGAACTCCTGAAGATATATTTTTTTTTAAATGAATGTCAGCCTTACTTTATTCTCAGTTATTTTATTCTGGAAAAGGGCCAAGTCTGTTAATAACTACAGTTTACATACAGATAGGGACACAGCAGCTTTTCAGTCTAGGAGTTTATTCTGGAAAAAAAATATGGGGCTCTTAATTTTTGAAAAAGGCTTTCAAGACTTATTGGACAGTTTTGTAAACCAAGTTTTTAACCAATACTTAAAGCTTCAGACACTAAACACAATTAATTAACAAAAATTAACAAAAATAGGATAATTATTAAAAGGGTAAATATACTGTAAAAATTACCTCCTAAGCTAGGAAATTCTCTTCTCCAAAAATGTTTTATACTAAATTAGTTTTAATTGTAATTTTCAAAATATGTAAGAATGTTACTTCTATCATTGTTATTTTTAAAGACAATTAAAGCCCTAAAAATCTCTGAATTGAAAAGTAGGGAAGATACTTCTTTCATGTGTAATTTTGTTATGTTGTTAGGGTATTTTGAGGACTTCCTCTGTTGCCAGAAAATGAAGAAGAAAACTGTCTTAAAATTCAAATCAGGCTATGTGGGGCTTAAAAAATGAAATTGCATGTTCTGTTTTGAGGCTTTTTAATTTTTTTTGTTAGTTTTAATCATACATCTTAAAAATAACACATAAACCTTTCAATAGAGGTTGAAAGGAGATGAAAATATTAGCAGGAAATGTGAGAGTACAGCTAGTACACACTGATTCTCATGAAGGCTAGTAAGAGACACAAAGCAGAGCAGCTTTTTTAGCTTATACCATGTGAGCAGCAGTATTCTAACACATGCAGAAGCCTTTCATTGAATCACTAATAATTCTCATGTATTGTCTTTTGCAGGTCAGTTACTATTTCCCACTGAAAACTTTATGGAGATCGTTTTTTGCTGCTTTAGTAGCTGCATTTGTTCTAAGGTCCATCAATCCTTTTGGTAATAGCCGCCTAGTCCTTTTTTATGTGGAATATCACACTCCTTGGTACCTTTTTGAACTGCTTCCTTTTATTCTTCTGGGAGTATTTGGTGGGCTCTGGGGAGCATTTTTCATCCGAGCAAATATTGCATGGTGTCGTCGACGCAAATCTACAAAATTTGGGAAGTATCCTGTCCTGGAGGTTATTATTGTTGCAGCAATAACAGCTGTGATTGCATTTCCTAATCCATACACAAGGCTGAACACCAGTGAGCTTATTAAGGAGCTCTTCACAGACTGTGGGCCATTGGAATCCTCCTCGCTGTGTGACTACAGAAATGATATGAACGCAAGCAAAATTGTAGATGATATTCCTGACCGCCCAGCAGGCACTGGAGTCTATTCAGCTATATGGCAGTTGTGTTTAGCACTCATATTTAAAATTATCATGACAGTCTTCACTTTTGGTATCAAGGTAAGTGTGAATGCAGTAGCTCTCTTATCTGCTGTCATCATTTAATTATTGCCTTTCTCATTTCCCAACTCTCAAGGCTGGAAGCTTTGTTTATTTTTTTCATATTATTTCTTTTGAAAAGAGGTCTTTTTTCTTTTAGTTAGTAAGCAAGTCCTGTAGCAAACAGTAATAACTTTAATTAAATTCAGAATAATCCTTTGTTCAGCTGAATAGAAATGTGCTAAATGCAGTAGGGAGCAGTAACTGTGTGGATGGATGTGTTTGTATGGGCCTGATTCAGCAATAAGGGATGATTCTAAAATTTCCAAGAGCAAAGTTTGAGCATAACCACTCAGATTCCCTAGTCTTCCTGTTACTTGGAAGAAGAACAGACTGTACCCTTTACACTACTTATTGGTCATTCTTATATTCACTCTCCTCATTGTTCACATAAATCTAATTACTACAGATGTTAAAAGGAGACCATGATTTCTTCTGCTGTATTTTCCAGTACTGCATCCTGTGATGAGAAAGTGGGTTTTGTTCATGTGACTGTAATGGAAATTTCATCTCCATTACAGACAGCATAATTTTTGTTTTTCCCAGTTGTTTGATAGATCTGTTTTGGAGGTGGCTTCAGCTTCTCCCCAGTCTGTGGCTGTTTTCTGAGTGATAATATATAACTGTCACGCCTTCATCATTTTCTGTCTTATCAGGCTCCCTTCATTTTTTTTGCAAGTACATCATAATCAAATGTGTCTTGATGAAAACTTCCTGTAGAATGTTCACTAAGCAAGATTTGTGTTTCAGTTTGCCTTAACTTTTCAGTGTAAGTTGCTGTTCCATGTAACAGTGTGCTTAAGAAAACACTTTCTTTCTGTAAGGGTGTTTGTTCATTGGAATATGCTGTGCAGAGAACAGCCTTGGAAGTACTCAGACCTTGACTGGTTGCAAGCCCGAGCAACCTGCTGAGGGTGACCCTGCTTGAGCAGGGGCAGACAGTCTGGGGCAGGCATCTTCAACCTCAACTATTCTGTAACTGACAGAACAATAACATCATGTTGTGTTTCTCATATTTCAATATTTTAGAAGATGTTGCAGGTTGTTATTTGAAGTTATGTTCTGTATGTTGGCTGGTGGGTGAGAGGAAGCTTACAGTGTGTGTTTCAAAAGCTAGTCTTCCTTAGGTCCACAATTCAGGCACTGTTGTGTGATGTGACCACTTCAGTCTGTTGTTTAGTTTTGTATTCACTTACTGGTTTCATTTATATCTGGGACATTACCATTCACGTGTTTATGTGCATCTGGCTCTTTGACATGGGGTTACACCACAAGGTCACACTGCATACTGGATAGAATTCACTGCTTTACAGAATGGGAGAGCTTGTACTTCATTTGAGTTTGGTTCATTTTCTCAGAATTTCAGCATGTGGAAATATTTTTGTGAAGCTGTGACAATATATTTATTACTCTGCCAATAGGCAAGGAGTTATGTTGCTGTCATTGATGGAGCTGGGCTACATTAATTTCTTGGATACTTTAAAGCATGTGGTTAGTTAGAATGTCAGCCAGGATCTGGAGAAATTGATGTTAGTTTAATGATATTCATTTGGTTTAGGCTTTATCTCTATAAAATAAGTAAATTCAAAATAGAAGGGAAAAAAAAGAGAAGAAATAATATTACACTGTCATTTAAATAATTATAAAAGATCCTCTGGGCTCTCCAGGTCTTTAGTTATTCCTGGAGCTGTAGCCATCTGCAAACACACATGCTCCCCATAGGAACTGCTTTCCTGTGAGGTGAGCAAAGCTACCCAGCTGCTGCCAGTGAGGCAAAGGGATTCCTGCTGCTAGTACTGCTGTGGAGATGCATTACTAGGAGGCTGATATGGCAGCATTTTTTTTGTTTTATTTTTTTTCTTTCATGCTTTTGCACCTATACTGTATTGCTTTTTATCAGTAGACTCATTGCTGTGTCTAAATGCTGATCAGCAGGTGGGAAGCGGTTACAGTTTTGCCTCAGAACATGACTGGTACACACTGGCACTACCAAAGAGGTGGATCCTAATCCTTGCTTCTTCCAAAGATGACACAGAACAAATCTTTTCCTCTGGAGTGTAATTTGAGCTTGTCCCAGAGAAGAAAGCCGAGAAGAGGAAAAACGTAGCTGTTTTCCCTTGCTACTTCTCTGGGAAGACTCCTTTCCCCTTTGTGATTTGTGATTCACAGGCTTATGCTAACAAATAGACCTGTAAAATTATAATTACAGTTAGACTTGTAACCATTACCCACATATGATGGAAAGAAGAGAAGGAGCTAGTGCATAAAAAGTTACATTACCAAAAGACCAGAAATAATTTGGATGCAATTTCCACATGGAGACTGAATTTCTATTGCGTACTGCTAGCACAGTAGGATCTGAGGCAGTTTCAGTAGTTTATTTAGTTACTTTTATGTTGGAAATACGGGATTTTGTCAGGGTACTGTTGCACTGTTCACTGAGGAAGAATTTCACACACGAAAAAAAAATTGATTTTAGCAGTTAGGAAGGGTCTTAGATGCATAATTAATTATATGTAATAACAGTAGTATAAATGCACAATTTGAATACTAGACTAAAATATTAAAATGAAAAAATTGAATATTACCTCTGTAAACACTGAAATATTAGGTAATTCAGTATAGGAATTAAGGATTATTAAACTTTGTCTCAAAACCCATGCTGGTGACTGTCTAACACAAAGTTAGTTTTCCCTTGGTTTCTTGGTTAGAAATCATCTTTGCACACACAAATATAGACAAAATACAAAGTAATAATAATTATAAGCTATGTTTGCTTTTCCTTTGTTGTTAAAAATCTTTGCAGCCATAAATACAGACGAAATACAATAACACTAACAACAACAACAATTCTGAAATACATTTCTGCAACAGCTATTGAATACCACACCAAAATCTATAGTTTGGAATTCCACAGTACTTAAATTTCACAGCTGGACAGTACAAGAAGAATTACATGATGTGTCCTGTTACACTTAATTAAATTATTTAATCAAGATGGGATGAGATGCATTTAGACAAAGTAAAAATTCTGCTCCTTTTTTGTAGTTATATCTGTACCTCAGTCACAGTATAAAATATCTTGATGTTAACAACTGCTGTGAGGAGAAGCAGCAGGCATTTACAGTTTAATGAGACATGTAGGTACCAGTATGTTTTTTGGAAAGATTGGCTTCGTAAGGCCAAGAAAAGATGTACAATAGTTTCTTCATATGAAAATGTTGATAAAAGGAAGTTTACATTAATATTTTACTTAGCCATGGTTGTGTGACAAGGCTTTAGTAGTAGCAGAAAAACATTTTAAGTAACTAAGCTGACAGTAGGAGCTTCTTTCTTCTTTAAGCTTTTTGCAGTGGGGATTATCTTGCCTTTTTCTCTCTTGGTGTGTTTAGCAGTCTATATGCACTCATTTTTACAGGAAACAGCAATAATAGTACAAGGCCTCTTTTAAAACTCACCTGTTTAGGTAATTTATAGCAGTGTCAGGAAGCAGTTTAGGAAGGCAGTCCTGTTTAGTAAGTGAATGTTGACTCTGAGGAACGTAAAGAAATAAGGGAGACAGGAAATGATAAGGAGCTCTTTCCTTTATGATTAGCACAGTTCACACCAGACATACACATGGTAAAGAATTGTGCTATTGGCACTGTGTCTAGTTCTTGGTCCTGTATTGGTGGTAGATTTTCTCTTAAACACAGTAAGATATAAACAAACATGCTCATGAAGTGGTTTCTCCTAATCAGGTCGATCAAAGATATCAGTAGAATTCTATCTACTAACCTTCCAAGGTCACTTACCATGGTTTTAATGTGACAGTTTAAGTATTTGCATCTCTTTCAGAAAAAAAATACAGAAAATCACTTTTTAAGTCGTGTGTCAGGTATGTTCCCAGCAGCAGCATGCCAACAGTTCTGTTTTTGTTGCAGGTTCCATCTGGGTTGTTCATACCTAGCATGGCAATTGGAGCAATAGCAGGAAGGATTGTAGGAATTGCAGTGGAGCAGCTGGCTTACTACCATCATGACTGGTTCATTTTCAAGGAGTGGTGTGAAGTTGGAGCTGACTGTATTACACCTGGTCTTTATGCCATGGTTGGTGCTGCTGCATGCTTAGGTAAATAAAATATAACAAATAAGTATCTGGTTTCTTCATATAGCAAAATAGTTACTAAAAAATGAAAGGAAACATAAACTTGTGCAGTTTTGGAACACCTGTTTATAGGGTCTTCCCTCCAGAATAATACTTTCACTTCTCTGCACAAGACCGTCAAATCCTTGTGATCTGAGAAATATCGTGAAATCTGAATTTATGAGAAATAGGAGAATTTTAGTAGTGTTTGCTTTCTCTTTTTGGTATCGAGAGATGCCATCACTACATTGGTCAGAGAAATCAGTTCCTTGAAATGTATGAAGTAGAGCATTTACAGTGTCAAGTACAGTTAAAATTATTAGAAGGAAGTGGTGTGATCAGCTGCCACATCTACATGAATTGCAAAAAATTGTTCTTGAAATTCATTTTCCAAACAAAAGTTTTAGAAGTGTGTAAGGTATTTTTATCAAATCTAATTGCTGAAAATCAGCTTCATGGAAAGAGGCTTAATTGGGGACCTAAACTTGTCCTCATTTATAACTTGGTTGCCTTAGAAATTAAACTTAAAAACTCTTAGGACAGATTCTGCAAGAAGTAGAACTTTTCTTTAAGGAAAATTATGTTTGGGCAATCAAACTAGTGATACAAATTTAGGTTTTGGAGAGATTGTTCTGGTTTTTAATAGTGCAAATTGAATCACTCTTGATTGAATTGAAAGACAGTTCATATTATTTTATTAAATGAAGATATAGCATCAGAAACCTTAGCTGAAAAAAAATATTTTAAATAATAACAAAAGAAAGTATAATCCCTCTCTTCTGTTGTCCAAGAAAGAGATTTCTTTTCATCAGCTCATAATTCTGTTTAGCTTTTATGATTAAGCAGCAGTATTAAAGTCCTAATCCTTTAGACAACATAGCTGTTGGTTTGCTACCTATGACATTTTTGCATTAGTTCCATTCTTTTTTCAAATTCTTACATCACTGGATTTCCTTGCATTTCACAGTACTTTTAACCCTGATGTGGTATGGAGTTTTGTTCCTAGCTTACATTAAATAACTGTACATATTTTCCAGTTCCCTTTATTACCTCCCTTTCTATGAATTTTCCCTAAAACTCTCTTTTTCACTTCTTGAAGTTCTCTGTTAATTTTCTCTGTCTGCTTCTATTGGTATTACGCAGAAGGACGTTTGTCAGATGACCTTTCATGTCAAAGTTATGTTTGTGGGTCTCAACAGGAAGGCACAAAATTGTAAAATCATTATTATCTGATACTCAGATGTTACTGGCTATCATTTTCCTTGCAGGTGGTGTGACAAGGATGACAGTGTCCCTGGTAGTTATTGTGTTTGAGCTAACAGGAGGGCTGGAATATATTGTGCCCCTAATGGCCGCAGTGATGACCAGTAAGTGGGTAGGAGATGCCTTTGGTAGGGAAGGCATCTATGAGGCTCACATCCGACTGAACGGCTATCCTTTCTTGGACGCCAAGGAAGAATTCACTCACACCACGCTGGCTGCTGATGTGATGAGGCCCCGGCGGAGCGACCCCCCTTTAGCCGTCCTCACCCAGGACAACATGACTGTCGAAGACATAGAAACCCTGATCAACGAAACCAGCTACAATGGTTTTCCTGTCATTATGTCAAAGGAATCACAGAGACTTGTGGGCTTTGCTCTAAGAAGAGATTTAACTATTGCAATAGGTAATTAACTTTCAGTATTGCATTATTGTATACACCAATTTAAATAGGTTTGTATTATTTTATATTTAAAATAGAATTTACTCTGTATGTTTTTACACTTCAGGTTGATTTAACTATATGGTAATATATCTTCAGTAGCAGGCTCTGAAATGAAGATAATACTCATCTCTTTGTCTCTTGTAAAAACAAAAGTTGTCATACTCATGTAGGTCAAAACATTATCTAATCTGGTATTTTTTAGGTTTTTGAGATTTTGATAGTACCCCATTTCCTTGAGTAATGCTATAGTAACATTCTTCAAAATTGAGTAATTCTCATTTTGACCATCAGTATTCTGTGATAATTACTGTCCAAGTAATTTTTAAATGTATATCCTATTTCTTTCTAACAGTGTGTTTTTTACTTTTGTTATAACAACCAAGGTTGTATTATGGAGAGATAAGTGCAATATTAATTATTTTAGGTTTATGTTTTTCAATCTTTTTGTGTAATGGGAAATTAGTCCCTGGGCACATTAGCACACAAGATCTGTTTGGAACATCTCTTTCTGTGTGAATATTATTAGTGCTTGTGTGATACTTGTGATAATGCTTTGTGCACTGGCAAGAAAAATTCTGTGGATTTTGAGGCTACTATCATAACCAAAGGAGGAAACACACTGTTATGTAAGAAAATGTTACAAAACTGTAACATTTAGTGCATGAAATAAGTGATGCATGTTGCATCTTAAACGACTTTCTTATATATACAAATGTCTTAAACAAAGACACTTGAGAAAGGGACAGAAGTCTCCAGAAACTTTTAAAACATCTTTTGTGAACAGAACACTGTTTGCTTCAGTCAGATTTTTGCCTATGGTTTTACTACTGTGTATACCATGGCATTATATTACGTAGGATGTATATGAATGTACAAAACTTGGATATTATTACCAACACCATACTAGTTAAAGTTTGCATTTACTTGAGTAAATGGGGGAGTAGCAGAATATTCTTCTTAGAAAATGCTTTCACAGGTAAGACTCGTTTCAGCTGCTGGGATTATACAGTGAAAGTTGCTTAGTCTTGGGTTGTGTGTGTCTTAAGAGTCACTGTGCCCTGGCAGCCAGGAGGGCCCGGTGTGTCCTGGGGTGCATCAGGCACTGCATCTCCAGCCAGGCAAGGGAGGGGATTGTCCTGCTCTGCTCTGGGACAGCCTCACCTCAAGTCCTGTGTGCAAATTTTGGTGCCAGATTATCAGAGGGTTATAAAGCCATTAGAGATCATCCAAAGGAGCGCCACAAGGATGGTGAAGGGCCTTGAGGGGAAGCCATATGAGAAGTGGCTGAAGTCACTTGGTCTGTTCAGTCTGGAGGAGGCTGAGGGGAGACCTCATTGCAGTCTGCAACTTCCTCCTGAGGGCAAGGGGAGGGGCAGGCACTGATCTCTGCTCTGTGATAAGATCTGAGGGAATGGCCTGAAGTTCTACTGAGGAAGGTTTAACTTGGGTATTAGGACAAAGTTCAGGGGGCTGTCAATTGAGACTGACTTTTCCCTGGCAGTTTCTTCAGGAGCTGAGTAGTTCTTTCTTAGCCTTTCCACCTCTTTATAGTAAATAAAAGTTACTTATTGAGTGAGACAATTAGTTGAATAATGACTAAAGCTGAATGGCAAAAGGCTGTTGTGATTTTTGCACAACCACTTTCTGGGGATAAAGCAGTGGCTGTGGAAATATATGCGAGAGCCTGGTATTGTTGATTGAGCTGTATGTCTGCGTTAACATCTTACTCCAGGAATATAAATTCCTCTTCCTCTGCTGTTTTTCCCCCTTCCCCGTCTTTCTTAAAGAAAGTGCTAGAAAGAAGCAGGAGGGGATTGTTGGCAGTTCCAGGGTATGTTTTGCCCAGCATACCCCATCGCTTCCAGCAGAAAGCCCTCGACCTTTGAAGCTCAGAAGCATCCTTGATATGAGCCCTTTCACCGTGACAGACCACACACCAATGGAAATAGTGGTGGATATTTTCCGCAAGCTGGGTCTGAGGCAGTGCCTTGTAACACACAATGGGTGAGTAAAGTGGCAGCAATGCTGTGCGTTTTTTTTAGATACAGCAGTTTTCACTTCCAGGATCAGAGTATTTGAACCAGGATATTCACCAGGATCATGGTATTTGAACCCATGGTAGGTTTGGTATTGCAGCTGAGGACCCCAGCTGTTCCTGAAGAATGTGCTGTGCTGTAGCACCTCTCTGAAATTCTTATGCCTTCCTTGTATTCCAAGTAAGCAGGCAGATGATTTCAGTCATTTTATGATGTTCTGTTAAAAATTTACTGCCATTCAGCAAGCTTGGTCTGTGCAACTTGCTTGTGGAGGAGACACAACTCGTCTTGCAGAAATTTAGTCTTGTGCTCTGCAGAGTCCAAGGCCTGTATTTCCTGGTTATTATCTATGTTCTGGCAACATGCAATGTATCAGTAGTTACTGAACATCCACAAATACTGGGTTCATAAAGAGTAAAGCAGAAAATGATCTAGTCAGTATCTCTTCTGGAGTCTAGTGATGGGGATTACCAGCAAGCTTTTGATTTTTGGAATACTAACAACTAAACTGCTGCTAGTTCTGGAACTTCAGTCTGCAACTTTTGTTTCTACAATTCAAAATATTTCAGGAAAATAGTTTTAAGATTTAGAATGTTTGTAAATGAGACTGTTGGGAGTTGTCTTGTGATTATCTACTAAATAAATCAGCCCCCAGCATGAAAACTAAATGTTCATTGTAATTGCCTCTTATCTAAACTGCTCCTTGTTTTTTTTTACATGATCTTTTTCTGTGCAGCTGTTCCTTTAACATTCTGCTTTTCTGTGTCTCTTGCATTAAACACTTGACATGCAACATCGAAGCTCCTACCATAGTATCTTGCTTTCCCTTTAGCATGTCTTTTAAGGCACCCAGGGAGTGAAATGTTGTCTGCTCATTCACATGTTTAGGATTGATCAGTGTCCTTGGGACAAGAAATCTGAAATGACTGGGACTTTTAGTTTTTCTGTGGGCAAAAGGACCGCTGCTGTATGCAGGGAATATTTATATATTTTGTTGGTTTCCAAGTTGGGTTTTTTTTTCAGATGTATTTTAAAACAAATTTATTTAAATGTTCTCCTGTCTGTTTTTTTGTTTTGGTTTTTTTTTCTTCAATGCATCTCTGTATGGAATGGCAAGTAGTGTTTCCAGAAGCCTTTCTAAAGGACATAACGATCTGACATTTAGAAGTTAGTCTGGGCATGCAATTATTCTTGTTTGGGGAGGGAAATTGGAATCAATAGAACTTCACTGAAAAATAATTACTATGATTTTTCATAGTTTCTGTTGTAGTTGAGTGCTCAAGCATTGACATTGATGCTGAAATCTCATCTAGAGAAAGCTTGATTGTGCAAAACTATGTCAAGCTCTACTATAAATTTTAAACTATTTTATGATAAAGTAGCAGGAATGGCTTTAATATTTATTTTATACTACTTCAGTTTACAAATTTGTGACATTCCACAAGCACACTGTCCATTACAAGAAGAGCAGATCATAAATACTAGTACTAGTGGTGTTTAGCGATGGCAATATACCCTTGTGGACATCAAGGACTACTTTATATTTCCACTGGCAGATTTCCTGCAAACGGAATATACCTTGCATCAACATACTGATTCCAGTCCAGACTGGATTGTACAGAAATTGGTGCAGATGACAGAGAGAAGACTGAGCCTTACTCCTCCAAATTTGTACCAGAATATCCATTCCAGGGAGTTGCTCTTCATTTGTCCTGTCATGAACAAGAAATTTGTCTGACTTTGTCTGTTTCTAAGGCCAGCAGATAGCCCAGCTCTGTAGGGCAGCTTTAAACCTCAGTTGCTATGACTTTACACAGTTATTACTTTGCTCATCTGCTGTGGCTTGTTAAAATGTCAATAATTATCTGTATGTCTGAGGAGAAATAACTGTTAAACGAAGGAAATACCAAGTAAATTTTAGTTTTAGTACCTTTAAAACCCAAAATATGTGAATTTAGGGTGAAGGGATAAAGTTTGCTACCCTGATGTGTACCTGATACAAGAAACATACTGCTCTGGGGTGGTTGTAGAGCCAATTGTGTTCAGCATTTTGGGAGAAAAAAGCAAAATCTGGGAAAGGGTACTGACTGTCAAATAAATTCTCATTTAATTATCTCATTAGCTTTCCTGCAACCATTTCTTTTTTTTTTCTTTTTCAGTTTGCTCTAATCCTTTTCCATTATGATTAGAATTTTTTTTCATTTGATTTCATACAGTTATTAGCATAACATAATCTGTTGCAGGATTGTCTTGGGGATCATCACAAAGAAGAACATATTAGAGCATCTCGAGCAACTAAAGCAGCACGTCGAACCCTTGGTGATTAGATATATCAGATCTCATAATTAGACACATTAGAAGTCAGGAAGCATGAAACTTGTGAACTGTTCAGGGCTTTTATGGTATCGGCTGAAGCATGAAATCTTCTTATGCTCAAAATTTGTATTAAACATAAAACAACATGTGCAAACTCCTTTTGTAGAAAAGAAGCTGTAAATGTGAACATACCGTTAGTCACAACATTAAAGGAAAGTAAACAGTAAACTTTCTGATACTTGTGTTGATGAGGTCACATCCATCCAGCTGGTTGATCTCTTGAATTCCCCAGGTGGGAAGGCACGCAGCTAGAAATACTTTTTCCCTGCCTAATGCAAATTAAGATTTTCATATATGCCAATTTCTTTTTCTGATTTGGGCAGCTTTAAGTAGCTGTTAAATAGCAAAGTATCACATCTTTTAAGAAGAAGAGATAAGCATACATCATTAGATCTTCCCTTTATTAACATGAATTTTTAAAAATATTTTTTAGCAAAGTCCTGTGATTTTATGTAAAGTCTGTGATTCTGCCACTGTTACCTACAGTGAGTGTAATCCTTTACAAAATGTGCAGTGATACCAGCCACCAAGTGGCCTGCTACTATGTAGTCTGTTGACTTCACAATCTAGATATGATTTTAACCATGATGTTGTGAACTAACCCCTTAGATAGGTGGTACACTTAGTCTTAATTTAGACATGGGTTGTTAGTTCCATGTCTACTAAACATACCCACCATGTTTAGCTGCTTATGTGCAAAACATGCTAATTATGTTCTCATTTTATGCTAATATTTCACAAGTATTTCATGCGTCCTTTAATAAGACAAATTGAAATGTACTAACCAGAATAACAAGGGCAGCAGCTCATCCATTCTGCTCTTTGCTTCTCTTGTGGTATTATCCTTTTGGACAGTCTCACTCTATTTGATGTTTAGCAGTTATAGTTTTAAAAGACCCTGTCATAAGAGCACAGTATCTAAATTGGAAAATGAAAATCTTATTATTCACAGTTTGTTTTTTTCTTATGCCATGAACTCCAAAAACTAATTAACTGCTGTTTATTTTACAAAAGTTTCATGGCCAGTACAGTGTGCTCCTATGAATACATTCAATCTGAGCCAGTGTGTCAGACTGGAAGGATCCTTCTAGTTTAAAATAGGAGGGGAGTTTGATTTGGGGCCATCAAGCAGTACATCACTTCTGATGGCTAGGTTGGAACATGCCTCTCTTATGAAGTGGGATCACTGTCATTTCTTTTTCATACCTCTCTTTTCTTTGTCCCTCTTTGTTACTTTTTTGTTGGCATATGCTAATGAAAATTTGATTTTTGTAGAAACAAAAAGTTAAATAAAAATTGTAATGGGCTCTACTTGTATGACTTGTATTTCATTAAAACGGACTACAGCTGTCAGAGACCATTTGATACAGCGTCTCAGCATTGCTGTGTTTTATCAAACTGGTGGTTCCTCAACATTTTGATAAATAAAATGTTTCTGTTTAAATAAGAAAATCAGGCTGTTTACTTTTGCTCTATTCCTGTCAACAAAAAGGACTTGGCTACAGATTTGTTCTACTTCATTATTTTCCTGCTTGGATTAATATCAGTCTTCCATTTATCCTTTTCAGGCGCCTCCTTGGCATTATAACAAAAAAAGATATCCTCCGTCATATGGCCCAGACGGCAAACCAAGACCCCGCCTCCATAATGTTCAACTGAAACCCATAGCTGAGGAGAGAGAGGAAACGGAAGAGGAGGTTCATTTGTTGAATAGCACAACACTTTAGTCTGGGGAAACTTCTAAAATCAGAGACGAGCTGGGTTTTTACATAACAGTGCTGCTGGCAATCAGGAGTCAGTCTGGGGGAGCTGATGGGAGTGTGGGAAGGGAGAGCTGCTGTCCTGCACTGGATGCGTCCCGAGACATCAGGTCTGCCATGATAGTGCAGTGGGGGAGCCGTGCAAAGCGGTGCCGTTCTCCAGCCCAGCCTGGTACTTCAGCATTGAAGAGATGTGTTATTAATCCCTGTTTCTGGAGGGATCATTCTGAATTGAGCCATCTTGTGGAGACTGAAAGGTCTTGCCCTTTTTACCATTGAAAACTGTTGTGTTAACTCATGAAACGTATTAACTATTACTCGTCACCTTTCTACATTCCAGAAGAGCTTTATTTCTCTCTCTCTCCTGAGCCGTAACAAAGCCTCTTTAAAATTGGTGTGCCCTTTTGAAGCAGTTGTTTCTCATATTGAGATGTACTGTGAGTTACTGAGGTGTGATCACAAGAAGGGAGGTTTTTCTTGTGCCATTAAATGTGTAAGTTCGTACATCACAAAATGCTTGGGGCGGTGCAGATGCACTGCAACAAAACCAGGTTGAACAGGTAATAATTTCCAAGAACCACACAAGACTTCTTTCAACCCGTGTGCTGTCATGATATGAGAAAGCTAAAACTGGGTAAAACCAGTATTTTAAAGAAAAATACTGGTTTTGCTGCAGAAAATATCAGTAACGTGACCTGGTCTTATGCAATTTTGTATTATTGATCACACTATGATATATACCAATATTGTGCAGTATAAGGAAAAATACTGCTATTCTACTAGTTTAAGAGCTGGAACAATTCTCTGTATACGTGTATCTGGTAAAAAAATGCATGCTTCAACACTGGAGATCTTTTCCCCCCCTGTAAAATTTGAGAATGGTCATTTTTATTTTTTCTTCTCCACAAAAGACGTTCCACTGCTGACATGGTAGGAAGAAATGTAACTCATAATTTGCACTAAATGTATATTATTTTTCTTGAAGTTTTACCATTCTTTATTTATATTTGTATGGATTTAAAAAATCTATTAAATATGAATCAGTTAATATCTCACATAACTAATTACCTTTTTAATGTGATTTTATAGAATAATTCATAATCCTCTGCAAGTAATGGAGGATTAGCAAATGTTTACAACTAGATGAAGGGTTTCAAGAAAATGGCTTCTTTATGATCCAACATACATGCAAGATCATTTTCAAATGTAACTCTCACTGCCGTTACCTTGGATTTCCTTTTTTCTTTACTGGCAGATAACTGGAACAGTAATAGTAGGGCTTTATTTAAAAAAAAAACAAACCTGCAGGGTTTTAAAAGTAATAGGAGAAAGCAACTATTAAATTGCTTTTGACTCTTCTTTTCTCCCAAGTATATAAAGGTGTAAATTATATGTACTCACACCTGAGCAGCAGGGCAGAATTGAATCCAGTACTTGAAACTTTGGCAGGACTTTAAAATTCAGCAGCAACACACACACACACACACACACACACACACTCACTCAGAGGTGAACTGACAGACCCCTAACTTCACAGTACATTGCTTTGTTTCCTATTCATTTTATCAGACCATCACCAGAACTGCATGCAGAGGAAGAATGACAATATGCTATAAGCCTAAATTAGGAAGGAAGAAAATTAAATCTGGCTGACAAAAATCATGTTTTGTAATATGAGGTTGGATAAAATTTCTTTCTTTTAACTATTATGCTCACCAGACTGCAAAAATGGCAAGAATATAAACACTAAAAGTCTAACATAATTTTAAATCTCTCTAAGGCATTCATCACAGTTACCTCAAACATCTTTATTCATGAAGTAGTCAGTATGATTTTATCTTAAGTATAATAACAAAATGAACCAAAATTCTGGAACTTTTGGCTGAGCTGCACAAAAATGGCTGTGCCTAAGTAAGTGCACTGTTGAATTTGAACTTATTTTTCTTAGTAAAAAACTGCCATCTACATTTTATCATCTCAGTTCCAGCAGCAACTGGAACCTGAAGAAAGTGAAATTTGCCGGGGGATCACAGTGATCAGGCCCTGTATTAAAAACAGGTTTGGAAATGAAACAGGGAATTGGGCTACATAAAAATGGGAGCATGGCAACAACAACCTGTACTCTTCCATGTGAAGTCAGTGCTAGTTGTTAAAAATTTGCTCTGGTACATTACATAAACCTGAAGAAGAGGAAGCTTCACAAAGCGCAGGATTAGGCCCATTTACAGAAGGCAGCTCTGGAAGTTGTCTGTGACACTGATTTCTGTTGTCTGATTTCTTTCTCTATAGTGGAAGAATACAAACTCACTACACATACAAAAATCACTTTAAATTAGTTTGAAATCTCTGCCCTGTTTGGTGTTACTGTGTAAAACATTGCTGTGTGTACTGTATTAACCTGCACCTAATTCTAGAGACTGCTGTCTCACTTAAAATACAGTTCACACTCCTGCTGTGTTTCATTTCTGTGTGGATCCCCAGAGCTGCACATAAATTGTGCATCTCTGTTTACTCTTAACCTGCTAAGCTTTCCCTGTTGACATTTAAAATGTCTTCTGGTAAACATGCAGTAGAGGTTCTGTTAATGAAGTATGTGTGCCTGTGCTGTGCAACAAAAAATTTCTAACGTGAAACTTGCAGCGCCTTACTCAAGTTACTAATTAAAAAAAAAAAAGGTGGTGGATGGGAGGGGGAAAGTGTCAGCATTTTTTTATTTTTTAAATCATTCAGATACTGGTTCATGAAGAATGCATTCTTTGTTAATCTGTGATGTTGCCTAGAGCTGTATTTAATATTGATCTTAATGTTTTTATTTATAAGTGTGGTAGAACTGCATATCATTACAGTAAAAATTCTCATTACTGTGATGATTTAATCAAGCATTAAAAACTTCTATATGACCATTTATTGTTTTGTCATACTTTCTCACTCTTTTCACAAACAAGATTTGTCTTGATTTTTGCATTTATTTTCCCTGAGAAAATTAACAGCTAGGAATTTTACATACAAAACCAGTAAGAAGATTTGTCAAAAAGAATAGAGTGTAGGAGATGCGGTATTTGCATTGCGTAGCTAATTATAGAATTAAAATTATAGAATTAAAACAAAATCTTTTTAATTTAAAGTTAAAAGTGGATGATCCTTTTATTGTCTGAAAACCAGCTGCTGCTGATGTACATGACAGAATGGCCTGGGCTGGAAGGGACCTTAGAGATCATCTCCTGTCAGGGGCAGGGACACCTTCCATGAGACACATTGCTCAGAGGCCCAGCCACTGAACACTTGGAGGGAGGGACAGGTACTACCCCTCTGGGCAACCATTTCAATATTTCACCCTTCTCATAATAAACCATGCATTCCCTCTGGCTAGTTTGAATCTTTTTTAGTTAAAACCATTACTCCTTGTTTTAGGAGTCTGTCTAAACAGTCTGTCCCAGTTTATTACACAGCACATCAGTCGTGTTGGAGCTGCTGTAACAATTTCTCCATCAGGGCCTATTATTCACATTACATTATTCATGTATTAACCCCTTCTCCATCAGGGGTTAATACATGAATATGGATGTCCAGTCTCAGCTCCTCATTTTTGCAGATCTAAGTTCATATTTAAGTAACAGTTAAAAAGTTGAATTTTTAAGGTCCTCTCCAACTCAAACCTTTCCATGATTCTACTGTTTTAGTGCTTGTGTGATTTACAAGGCCTTGATATTTAGGGCTCCTGTACTTGAAACAAAAATGAGACTGAGATGGAAAGTACCTGTTTTTTATATATTAAAAAAACCTCTAGGCCTATGAATGAGTGTAAGTCTGTGCTTGACATTAATATGCTAAATGAAAGGGGTGAAGTTGTCAAATTTACACTGTTAGCTGTGGCATGTGATTTCCTTGTGCATTTGAAACTCTCAATACTTTTGCAGCACTCTAACCTATATTTTATCTCTGCTGCTCCCTTCTACCATAAAGTAACATATAACTGACAATCCTTTGCTTAAAAGACTAGGAATGACTTAGATTTTAGCATGGTGCTACTGGCCTATAATCTTTATCAGTAGTAATTAGTATTGCTGTCATTAGTACTGATGTGAATTGCTACAATGGAAGTCAAGTCACTGGATGGTGGCAGGGCTGTTGAGTAAGAGCAAATGTTATTTTCCATTGTTTCTGTACTGTTACTTTAATCAATTGTCAGAGAATAAACCTCCAAATGCAGTAACAAGAACACAGCTGGGGACTAAGGACCTTGAAAGCAATTAATTTGCACCTTGTACAAAATCACTTGGAGATGGCTTCTTACTAGCAAGGTAGCAACTGCAGTGGAATTCCTAGTTTCTCATGTAATGTCAGTTAGTATTTCCTTCATCCCATCAGTTTTGTCCCACTTGAACCAGCCCCAGCAACACAGGAGCAGGGATAGTGCTTTGCCACAGAAGGGAATGCTACAGTAGGGGAATGCTGTACCTGAGGGGTAGGACACAACTGCAGAAACGGAGAGGGGCAGAACCATCCCCTGGAGCAGGGCCGCGGGGATCGGTTCGCATATGGCACGGGGGGTGCTGACCAAGGCCCA